CAGTAAAATCCTATATATTTGGTGTTCTAAACTATCTGGACAACTTTGCAAGAGTGCATTAGGTTACTTCGGATGTACAAAAATTACATAGTTGTTACACAGCACAAAATGTTTAGCCCCGGCCTGGTTATCATTCTGTTTTAAATTCTTTTATTCTGTAAATAAATAATTTTTTCTTCCAAAGTCTATTCCTCATTATCAACATCAAATTCGATATCACAGTCGTCAAGAAGACCAACTACCTCTTCCTGGGACAGATTTTGCAATTCCCGAAAAGAAAGCTTGGTTTTGGTAGTTTTGAACACACGATCCAACTGTATTAAAAAAGTAAGTAGGTATATTGTACTTTTGTATTTTATTAGCAGAAACAAAATTCACACGACTTCCCAATGATGCCATTTGAAGACCTCCACAATGGCCCAATGATTCCATTTGGATTCATTAATATAATGTTTACATAAAAATCTTAAAAAATGCAAATTATTATTATAAATAAAAACAATGCAAGAAGTAAAATAATTTTTTTTGTGCAATTACTGGTTCACTTACTCACCTTAGAATGATTTGAAATTTACAGTGAATTGATGATCGTTGTTTCACTACGAAATTTTATATTGAAATGTGACTAACGCTTACTGCTTACTGATAGAATTGTCAAATAAATTACTGCAGCGTCATCTAGTAGGAAGGTGAGGAAACGCAATACCGTTTGCCAAATCGACATATTAATAAGCAGTTTCCTTTGCCGCTAAAGCAGAAAACATTGCTATGATCCCAAATGGGATCATCTGACTGGAAGGTTAAATACCTGTCTAATGTAGTACACTCTCAGCTAACTGTTGGAAAAAAAGCAAAGGAATATGAATCCCGAAATTAGATATGCAAGAAAATTCAAAGTAGTCACCATACATTAAATTTATTAATTATATTACTTTTAGTTTTGGGTTTTTAAGCAATTTTTACATTGACTGTTTTGTTTTATTATTTACAGTAAAATTTTCAATGGTTAAGATAGGATTACGTTCTATAGATTTCTTTCGTATTGATATGTAAACTAAATGCATTCTTGACAGGTATTTAATTAAAACCTCAAGTTTTGCGCCTACATACCGACAACAGATATAATGTTTTGGATTTAGTGTTGTTTATTGTTGTTATATTACCGTTTTATCGTATATCTCAAATCTTATATAGCATCTCATATTTTGTCTTTGTTATTTTAGATTAGTTATTCATATATATTAAAGACAAAGCGTGAATAGTTTTAATAGATAATAATACATTATTCATATAATAACTGATAAAGTCACTTTTCGAAATAATTATTTATATATTCACGAATTCTGATAATTATCCTTGATAGTTCGTGGTTCTTTTAAAGAAAGACATATATCTCGAAAACAACAAGGTAGAAAACAATAAAATTGGTGACCTCTGGCATTATTATCTGTATTAGAATGTCGAAAATCTTTAAACCTACAGGTTTAATCTTTAAAACAAGATTAGTAGATACACAAGCAGATATATTAAAAAACAAAAGTTGTTTCTACATCAAAGAACTTATTTTCATAGAACAAAAGTAACACTGATAGATTTCAGGGCAATCATATACACTGCACTCAGCATGAGCCCATTGTCAACAAAACAAGCATCTGTACCACAGTTCAGTTTTTACACCAAACTCACCACAAACCAAATACATTTCATTGTTTTCGAAAAATAATTTAAAACTGTCATTAAATTCATTGTCATCACATAGTTTTGATTCATCTATATCTTCTTCGGAAGACGATTCTTCCTTGCGTTTTAATACGCTTGGGATTTATTTTCAAGCTTTAATTGTTAACTTTTTTCATTCTTTAACATTTTTAACTTCAGATTCGGGTTAACCTTTGGATCCTGTATAACTTTTTCTACGCTTGGCTTTTCCAAAAAAAATCCCTAATTTCTTTTTTCTTCTCTGTGTCTTCCAAAACTATTTTCATAGGGGTGACAGTCATAATTACTGAGTGTTGTTTTCTGAAATTTTTTGGTTTATCATCATTAAATGATTTTAGAAGAAGCGATACTAATTCCAAAATTTGGACAATAATTTGGTCAAGAATGTCAGAAAACATTTGTTTCCGAACTATCGGGTAATGGATTTTCAAAAATCCTACTTAAATCTATGCTGGTTGTTATTTTATCTCTTAAAATCTGACAAGTTTTGACACAAGTCTGTAATCTATAATCTATCTGGTCCCATTCGGCTTACATGTTCGTTCAAGTTTTTTTTTCTTGTTTTTATCCACCTGTTAATATTTTGAATTTTGCGTTGTTCGAGTATACTTCTGTTGGTTTGTCTGTCTCTTAATGATATGCCCGCTATTGATCTTAATACTTTCATTTCGATATTGTTGATTTGTTGTTTCGTCTTTCTTCGGTCCTTGTCTCCGCTGCATATGTTAGGATTGGTCTTACTGTTGTCTTGTATACTTTCATTTTGCTTTCCATAGTCAGATATTTGTTTCTCCATATGGTTTCTCGGAGGCAAACACTTACCCTTGCCGCTTTTGATGCTTGCCTTGTGGTCTCTGTTCTTATATCTCTGTTACTAGTGATCTCTACTCGTAGGTAATTGAATTTCATTACTTGTTCTACAATTTATATCACTATACATTTAGTATTGATCACAATAGTACAATTGATCACTACACATTTAGTTTTTTCTACTGACATTCTCATATTAAGTTTGTTTGCTGTGATATTAAAGGTGTGGAGCTGCCTTTGTAGGTCATCTTCGTTATCAGCAATTAGTACTACATGATCGGCATAGCATAGTATCGTGATTTTATGCGCTCCCATGTGGTATCCGTGCCGTTTTCTTACTTAGTGAATTATTTGATTCATCACCATATTGAATAACAATGAGCTGAGCGAGTCTCCTTGGCGGATTCCTCCTTTTAGTTCTATGTATTCTGTTTCTCCTGTTGGCATTATAACTCTGGTCTTGTTGTTCTTGTTAATTTCATTAATTGTCCTTATTATCTGATGGTCTATTTGTTCAGCTTTTAATAAATTTAAGATGTCATTTCGCTTCACCCTGTCAAAAGCACTTTTTAAATCTACAAAGCACATGTATGCTGGTTCAGTATTTTTCAATAGACTTCTCTATTATTTGTCTGATAATAAAAATTGCGTCTATTGTGCTGCGGTTCTTCTGGAAGCCTTGTTGTTCATCTGCCATGTTCGCTTTTTCCTTGATTTTGTCTTGTATAACTGCCCCATGCCGTTAACAATTTTAATGTACTATTCATCAGACTAATGCCTCTATAGTTTTCAGGGTTTCTCGAGTCTCCCTTTTTAAGTATCGGCAGTAGGAGACTTTTCTTCCATTCCACTGGTACTACTCCGGTATTTATTACATCGACGAATAATTTTAGAAGCCATTTGCGTAGTGTTGTTCCTGTATATTTTAGCAGTTCATTGTTTATCATATCAGGATCAGGTGCTTTTCTGTTTTTTAATTTTTTTATTCGTTCTTGTTACTCTTCTTCTGATATTAGTACTCTATCGTGAGTTTCGTTAATGATTCTTTCTCTGTTCTCTTCTTCTGCTTCTCCACATAATTTCGTGAAATGCTCAGTCCATTGTTTCTCCGTAATGTTATCCTTTTTCCGTATCATCTTCCACACCTTTTTCTAGGATCCATAAAGGTCGTATTCCATATATTTGGTAAATTTCTCCCAGTGTTCTTTTTTGATGTTATCTATTTCTTGATTTACTCTATTCCTGATTCTCACGTAGTCTTCTCGTGCCTCCGGTGTCTTCACTACTTTGTATGTTAGAAAAGCTTGTTTCTTTTAATTTGCTATTGTTTTCACACTTTCGTCGTACCATGGAGTTTTGTATTCCCGTTTATTTCTGTTAACTTTTCTTTTACCCAAAGCTTCTTCCGCTGCATTTTTTAATAATTTTCCAGGTTTCTTCTATATTCTTTTTAGTCTCTAGGTTATCGCTGTTTAGCTTATCTGTTAGTCTGTTTCTATACAGGTTTTGTGTCCTTCTTCTTCTAAGCTTTCTATGTTTAACTTTTTTTCTACTTTTGTATTTCGTTTGCCTTGTGTGGTTATTGCTATATTTATTTTTCTTAGTTTCCAACTTCACGTTCCCGTTTGTTCCACGATGCGATGTTCCAGTGCCAATTCGTAGATTATTTGGTCTTTTTGTCTTTTTTCTTGCGTGGTTCTTCACTTGTGTATCCGTCCAAGTGCGAGGTTTCTGTTCTGTTCTATGAGCATTGATTTTTTTGACAGTAGGTAGGCTGTTAATCTTGCTCACCAACCCTCTTTTCGGAGGACCATTTCTCCCTTCCTCGTCAGCCTTGACCCTGCCTTCCATTAGGTTGGTTACCCAATCTCCAGCAAGGTTGCTCAGATTTTCCAGGGTTTACCCGTGCAGCCCAAGCCGCACTTTGTAGAGGTGAGGATAGGAATTGAGTAGGAGAGGCTAGAAAATGCTAACTGGAAACAGCATCTTATATTGCGCTTCACTACCCCTTTGAACCCCATTAGCTAATTGGATCATAATTAATTTAATTATTGTTTTATCATATTTCAAAATTACAAGATCACATTAATATATATATATATATATATATATATATATATATATATATATATATATATATATATATATATATATATATATATATATATATATATATATATATATATATATATATATATATATATATATATATAATCTACTTTCCGAACTTGTCTTAAAACATTACTAAAAATATTTATTGCTCTCGATTCAAACAAGTACGTACATATATTCTTTAACTCATATACATTTACAAGGTATCAGTTTTATCGGTACCTTATCTTAATCTATTAATTATTATCAATTCTGTGAAAACATAAAACATTGGTTAAACATGTCAGGTGCCTAGATAAATTTCCGATTGATATTTCAGGTACAGTGTTTAACATTGCTACATTCCATATTATTGCAAAATGCGACTGAAATTAAATCTTCAAACAATATTACTGCTTGCCCTTCCTGTGGTAATTCAGTGCCAGTTAAATGCAGTCAAGTCTGGATTGGAAAGTTGTTACAATGAATCAGCAATTCCTGGAATTACCATTGCTGATAATAGGCCACCAGTAACTTTAAATGTTTTTCTTGAAATATTACGAAGAATAGAAGATGCTAATCCGGCAATGACAATCAGAGACTTAGCGGCTTTATTGATACAAAAGTAAGAATTAAAGTTATGATTTTTATTGACAATCGACACTTTCTAAAGGTCTTTCTGTGAGATGAAATTTTACTATTTTTTACTAGAAAAATTTTTTTAGGAAGTACCTATTGATAATGATTATTTTTTTATTTTATATGGTAAAATATTAGGTATCATAAAATGCAAAACTCAATATTCAAAAAAAATTATTATAGAAATGTATAGAATTAAATAAAACATAAATGGTAATTTTTTTGAGTATTAAAAAATAATTTTTGTTTGTAAACAGAATTTTCACATTTATTCAAAAACATAAAGATTTGATCAGGTACACTTTTTAGATTTTTAGAGTAGTTTTGAGAAAATTCAATATGGTCCTTATTTCATTTTCAATTGAAGAGAGCAGGGTAAAAAACCCCGTCATTGATGCAAAGCTGATTTTGAGAAAAATAAATTTGACAGTTGACCAAATTTTTTTGGAAATCAATGGCAATTCCTTCAAAAGATGTCGACTTTATTGCCTTCTTTCGGCGCAAAGTCTATTCAATTGATAGAAACGCTCACTTTTCTTTAGGTGTATTTCCCTATTTCGCAACTTCACACTGTCTGGACGGGTCTTTTGCTTCCAATATGGAAATCTCAGACTTCAGGAAGTCACATGTGCTGCAAGTATCCTTGCGGGGATAGCCGAATGAGATGTTGAATTCATTTTCAAAATATTCACGAAAGGATTCATACGATACTCCATTTTCCAGATACTGATCCGTGTATATTTTATACAGCTTTGTAATGTTGAGTTCTTCAGGTTGGTATAATTTTTCCGTTCTCTTCAGTGTGATTTTCTCCCTCTCAGTGACTTCAAAAATGTGTACATTTTTTCCTTAGTGTCTTCTGTTAGCTTGTGGGGTCTGTTTGAGTGCTTGCCGCGCTGATCTGTAGGTGCTTTTTCCGTAGAAACAAGAGATTTTCGAATACATCTCACTTTGTCTTTTGAGATACTATGCATGCTCATGAAAGCTTTCAAGCACACTCTCACATCACGTGCAACAAAATCATTCGTTAGCGAAAGAACTCTGTAGCAAAGGAAGCTGTGTTGTACTTAGTTTGATTTTCATATTTCCCTCTTCGCATCACCGGCAACACACTAATGGGACCGCCTAAATACGAATTATGTTTATTTATATCCCCATCGCATTGAACTCGCGAATGATTCTTTTGAGCTGATCCTCAGGAACTGCTTCAAATCAACGAAGCATCGTGCAACAACAATCCGGCCCGAGTTCATGGCTCACAGCTCTCAACACTTTCATCACATCTGTTACTCTAAGGAGGATCCTCTTCAAAGGAGGATCCCGTTTTGGTAATCGTCGACAATCACAGTAGCCACTGTACATTAAAGACATAGAATTTCTGTAAAGAACAAGGAATTATTATGTTAACCATACCCCCGCACACATCGTATCGACTCCAACCGATGGATGTAGCTTTTTACTCATAGTTAAAATCAACGAATAAGATTAAATGTGGCAATTATCTTTGAAGTCATCGTCATGAGTGTATCACCGCATTAGAAATAGCTGAAATATTTAAAAATTCATACTGTTGCGTAGCCACACCAGTCAAAACCATTAAAGGTTTTGAGAATACAGGAATATTTCCATATACCTAATCCTGAAAATTTTACCGATGAAGACTTAGGTCCAGGTGATACTACTAGACCAGGTCCACTAGACCAAGAGAAAAAAAGTGAATTAGATAAGGAGAAGAATAATAAGGAAGTTAAGGGGAATAAAGAAAGTTCGACAAATGACAAAAATTTTGAAGTATCTTTTGTTGACATAATTCCACTACCAGGATGCTCAAAATATGACTCAGTTGGAAATAAGAGATCCAACCACAAAAGCAACAGGAAGCAACATTCCGAAATAATGGCATCAATACCAATGAAATTACTTCTAGAAGAAAAACAGGGGAAGGAGGAAGAGCAAATGAGAAATAAAGCCAGCAAACCAAACGAAAAATAGGCATCGAAGAGTCCAGTCCTCCGCGAATAGTTCCAAAAAGAAATTGTATAAGAACACAGAAGATCACAGAAGATATATCATCTGAAGATGAGGATGATGACGATGACCGTGATAGAGACGTTAACGAAGATAGAGAATTCTAGATTCAATGCAGCTTTTGCGGCCAATGGGCACACAAAGACTGTACCAGTTTCGAAGGAAAAATTTACATTAGCGATTTCTGCATTTAATTATTTTTTAAATGGAGATCATAGTGGCAGTGCCCTTTTTACCCCTGAGCAGCGGGTAAATATGGCCACCAGCAGAAGTCTGTAGAACCGTTTTATTTTTTTTGTTCTGTTTAAAAATTTTTTGTCATTAGAGTTTGAAGTACCAAGGTTTGAATTTTTATTTACGTTAACAGTATAATTTTTACAGCTATGTAGCGGTATAAATAAACCAAAATGCTTAGGGGGTCACTACTCCCCCCCTTCCCCTAATTGTGATTTTTTTCCAAAAATATATTACTTAATAATATGAATCTAATATTTATCTATTAATATTTTGACAGGCTTCGACATAATGGAATTGAAGAAACGCAGAAACCAGTAAGCTTAAGTATTGCTTTACCGTACGCACCTACTGGACAAGATGCTCTTAAAGGGACAATCATGACTGAAGAATTTATACCAACTTCACAAATTAGATTATCTTATGGAGATCTTTCTATGGCTGATGTGGTAAGTTGTATAATGGATTAACTTATTATTTTAATATAATCTACGAAAACATTAAATTTTGCCAACAAAATAAATACGAAACAAATAAATTGACAGAGATAGCAGATATATTCATCCTTCTCAGAACCTCTTTGTTCATTCAATATTTTCAGAATTCTTCTGTATACTCACAGCTCGAATGATTCCAGTTTTTTCATTGATGTCGCATTCAAGGTCCCAGATTCCATTACATAAAATAAAGTCGAAAAATCATAGCACCTCAACCTAACTCTTAGTTCCAATTTTAAATCCCTGGTACAAAGCTCTTTTCTCATTTTTTTGAAATTTGCTCTAGCCTTTTCTATTTTGATTTTGATTTCCTGAATATAATCATTTGTGGAGTTAATCATTGTTCCCAGATATGCTTTTTTGTCCACTTGTTCGACGTTGGTTCCGTTTATTAAAATATTTCGTTATTTCTTTGAGTTTTCAAAATTCTCATAAATTTCGTCTTCTTGACATTCATTGTTAGACCATACTCTTTTCCATACTCCGCTATTCTGGTCACCAGTCTCTGAATATCTTCAATATTTTTGGCTAAGATCACAGTGTCGTCCGCATATCTAATGTTGTTAATGGGAACTTCATTTACCCTTATTTCAGCTGTTTTACCCTCAAGAGCGTTTTTCAGGATCTCTTTGGAGTAGGCATTAAAAAGAATTGGCGGCAATACTGTCTCACTCCACATCTAATTTAAATTTCTTCTGACAGCTGTTCGTTAACACATACTTTTGCTAGCTGTTTATAGTATAAATTTGATATGACCCTTACGTCGTTGTAGTCAATCTTCTTTGATTTCAGGACATTAATTAATTGTTTATGTCGTACTTTATCGAATGCTTTATTATAGTTAATAAAACATGCGTATATATCTTGATTGACGTCCAGGCATCTTTGTATCAGTATATAGTCTAGTTTGTGATATATTCGGTTATGGATGACTTTCAGCAGTAACTTTAGCACATGAGACATCAAGCTAATGGTGCGGTAATCGCTACATTCTCTTGCGTTTTTTTTTGGGAGACAAATAAAAATTGACGTTAACCACTCTTTGGGTAATACGCTTGAACTGTAAATTTGATTCAAGAGTGTCACTAAAACATCAATGTGCTTCTCATCTAGAATTTTTAGGATTTTTATAGGAAGCATGCTAGGACCAGAGCTTTTCCCACTCTTCATTGTTTTTAATGCGTTCATAAGTTCTATGTGCTCCAGATCTCATCTTTCATCATCGAATAATTCGTCGATATATTCTGCCCATCTTTGTACTTTTTCGTCCGTACAGTGTACAATTGCACGAGTGCGATTTTGTTTTCTTAGTCTTGCCAGTTCTTTAACTTTCTTGTGTAGGTTAAACAGATCATATTTATTTTGAAGGTCTTCGATCTCTTTGCATTTCTCTTCAAGGTATTTTTCTTTTGCCTGCTTTATCATCTTCTTGATCTCGTGGTTTATCTCTCTGTATTTATTGTTGTCTTTGTTTTTAAATTGTCTCCGTTGTTCCATCACATAAGTGGATTGTGATCTGAGGCTACGTCAGATCCAGGATATGCTTTTAACAGCATTACAGTATCTTTCATTGATCATAATGCAGTCTAGTTGGTTCCTGACTACTTTCTCCGATCTATCTGCGGGCGATCGCTATGTATACAGTCGTCTGTTTGGTAACTTAAAAAATGTGGTTCCCAGACCATACTTTCCTATACACTTTCCGCTTTGTCCATTTCCAATCTTTACATTGAGATCACCTAGGACATAATAAATTTTGTGGAAGTCTTGAAAACAAAGTTTTCAGTGTTTTATTGTTACATTGTTATATTTATTTTTTTAATATGTTAACTCTTATTAACTTTTTTAGTGTGCATTTCACTACATGATCTCAAATTCAGTTAATAAAACAATTAGAGGTGATGAAAACCAGACTTGTCTTAGATCTGCTCGGTATCAAATGAGAATAGCTAGAGCGACTCGTAGAAAAGATATAGAGACAATTGAGAAGCAATCCCGCCAAGCGTTTGGTCCTACTGGAGAACCCAGTCTATGTCCAATTGAAAAAGGTGTAGTCTACAGCCAGTACGGGTCATTTAAGATTGGACAAGTGATTCAGGGATTGGCTGCTGGATTGAACCAAGAAAATCTTAACAACGTGGACAATAGATATGCAGCTACGTTAGGAGGTGAGACTTTAAATAGTTATTTTGATAACAAATTCCACTTACTCTTATAAAACTTTTTCTGTACATATACATATCTTCTGAGCCTCCAGACACTAGTCGGATTACGAAATACGTATTTTGAGAACGATTTCAGAAGTTGACATCGAAACGTCAAAAATAAACTTATTTTATAGTTAAATTGTGGCTTATTCCCAACAAAAATAGTAAATACTGTTTGTATTTTGAGAACGATTTCCGAAGTGGAAATTGAAACGTCAATAAACGTATTTTTATCTTTAATTGTGGCTTATTCCCAGTTTAATAGTAATTAAAAATAGTAAATTTCAGCTATATATTTTATTTCTACAAATTTATTTTGACTTGCTTGTATTTTAAAATTGTATCACATATCAATATATTATGTTATTTTTCGCATAATGCGGCTTAAAGCAAGTTTTTAGAAAATTTAGATATCAATATACCGCAAGTGCAGTACCCTCTGGCTATGTACTGCTTATCGCAAGAGTATTTTACTTCCTATTTTCCTAAGAAACTACAGTGTTAGATAATTCAAACCAATATCTCTGATTTACACCATTATTGCCCCAATTAGTAGTAATAAAACATTGTAATACTGCATTTCCTGTAAAAAGATCAATCCATAATTCTGAGTTGGTTTTAGATATCAAAGTAATCACTTCAAGCAATTCCGATAGTCAAAGAAGAAGAAGAACAATGGAGATCATTAAATATTTCTTATATTTTGTTTATTCTAAATATTTTTGAAACTAGTTCCTTTGATTTAATTTATTCCTTTGTTGAAGATAACATCTATCTCTGAGAACATCTGAGTTTATTGGAATTAACAGAAACTATTTTAAGTTAGCCATTGACTGTTAATCTGAAATTATCTTTTTATAATCTTTTTATAATATATCTTACGTTTTCGAATAAACAATTAAGTACTTTACTTTTTCTTTTTTAGGTGATTTATGCCAGACAGCGTTGATTCAAATCGATCCACCGCTTCGTCTTGGCGTTTCAGGTGGCTGGAATAGTTCAACAAATCCAAAATATTATTTTCTTCAGCAGAGCGATGATTTGGATTTGACTGATCAAGATATTAGAGGATCTTTAGATGGACTCTACATGGCACTAAAAATAAATGATATCAAAGGAAAATCTGACGTTAAAATTTCGCAAGTCCTAGATATGTACTACTCTCCTCAACAAAAAGGAGTTTTTGATACATCTTTTAGAGCATGTAACAGAAATATTCTTTTTTCTGAATTGGTCAATTCTCAAACTCTGCAATCAAATATTAACAATCTTATGCCAATAATGGACAACAAGGGCCAATATCCTTATACGATTGATACTGCAAAATATGGATTACTGGCCGAGGCAGCATTTAACAATTTTTCATCATATCTACGTAAGTTCTTTCCCAATTTTGTTCATTTGGCATTTTCTACGAAGGGGAACATGTTGTACCTAGGAATATTTTTACAATTTGATTTTTATAAATTAGACAAATAAAGATATTAAAAAATAATAAAATCTGGACAGTTCATCATATCTTCGTAAAGCTAATTCGAAAATGCCAAGTTTCCAACTTATATATTTCTACCCATTTTATCACTTTTTTCGTGTGCCTAGGAACAACCGGTCTGTTGTACCCACGGACACGAAGAGTTGTACCTAAGGACACGAGTTGAAGTACCTGTACAACCAGAATTTAATGAACAAACTACTGCATTTAAACCAGTTCCTTAAATTCTTCATAATAATACACAGAATACCCTAAATTAATTTTATCAAAAGATATTGGAAAGGTAAATGTGTTTGATTGTCGAGAGAATGAACCTGCTGTACGCGGTTAAGAAAGTTTTTGTATAATATCGCTGATGTTAGTTGTATACTCCTTTTCATCTTCAACCGTAAATGTATAGCCATGTGCAAAGGAATGAGCTTTCTTTAAATATTTTATTTGGAACTCTGTGTCGTCCACCTTTCCTGATATTGCGGCTACAAAATATCCTGAATGCTTTTTCCCTTTTAAGTGCACCAAAATGAAATCACCTTTCTGAAGATCATCTGTAGTAAATTGACTGGAATCAATTTCTAAATCTGACAAAGAATTATCATTACAATTACTGCTGTCACTCTAATCTCAAAATCAATTTGATCTTTCTCTGACGACGTTTCTTCAATATTTAACTTACGCTTTACTTTTTTTGTTTGTTGCAGTTCGTTTTTGCGCTTCTTTTTTATACTGTCTTTCTTGCTTTCTTTTATTTCATTAAATTCTTCCTTCCTTTTTTGCGCCTTTTAGAAACGTTCGCGGCAAAGCTTTTGGAATGGAACGAACCTCATATGGTGAAATAAAACTTGACATAACAAGAATTGATTCTTGAAAATCCAACTTAGCTTTTGGTATGGAAGATGACGTTAAACCAGAACATGAAAGCTTAGGGTCTGTTTCTGAAGCATCACAATGTGGTGGATCGGGGTCAGAATAAACAGGAAAGGTTGATGAAGAGTTGTGTAAATATGGATCCTCTCGATCGGTTATGTTAGATGGCAAAAAGTCTTGTTCAGTAAAAATATCACTGTTTAAGGGGTAAAGACCGGATACTTGAAAGCCCTTGGTTATGTTGTTTGGACTACCTTCAACTATGCCGTATTTGCCAACTCTGCTACGTCATAAATGGTAACTGGTTTCCCTGCGTTATCAAAATGCTCGGCGTCAAAAATTGTTTTGACCTGATGTTTTAAAATTTTTAATGTGTCTTGCTAATGCAGACTTTGCAAATTCCAAATTGGCTCGATGCGGCACGAATTGAAAGACTTGAATTTAAAACTTCACGAACAGCATTCTCTACATTGACTTTTAAAGGTCCCGGTCTTCTCTTCTTTTCTTTACTTTTTGGCATAATGAGCTCTTAAAACAAAACATTGTTTGGTACTAATACTTTTAATAATGTACCTGGGGACGACCCCAAGTACAACAAAATGCATGTCCCTAGGTACAAAAGGGGGACTCCATGTATAAAAGCAGTCGAATAAGTCGTTAGCCACAACAAATACAGCGGTTTGATTAGTGGATTAGGTAGACTAAATTACGATTAATATCACCCTAACATGATTATTTACTACAGTCCAATTGATAATTTGCAATCAGACGAAACAGCCGGTAAAAATACTTACTTTGGACGTCAAAAATTACAAAATGGCCACAGCTTATGTTAACACTTCACGAACTTGTGCACAACTGAATACCATAGAGAGACACTGTTGCCGATATGGTTTGTAAATCTAAGGTTTGTCTGATATTTTGTTTGGCGTTAATTTAGCATGTCCCTAGGTACAACCGTCACTAGGTAAATTTATCTAATACTTATTTAAATTATTATTTGTTATTTTTAGCACGACTGAATGATCCCCGATGCCCTCAGTTGGATTCTGGGATAGAAAGAGTTCGTACTGATCTCTTAATTTTTATAGATCCAAATTGGGAATACAAAACAATTCAACCTATATTATCGTAAGTCACTGTACACAAATCTATTTACAAAAATCAACAGTACTGCAAATAAGATTTATATTTTTTATTTATTTATTCGTTTATTGCATATGGTCAAAATGAGGATAACTGCCACAGAAACCCTCTCTTGGTTCAAAATATTATTTTTTCTGATGGGGCTACATTCACATTAAATGGCGAGGTGAACCGTCAGAATTGTAGGTACTGGGCAAAAGAAAATCTCAACTGGATGCGGGAGCATCATACACAACAGGGGAGTGGTAGGAACACTGAGACGAAAAACTTTCAAAATGAAAATAACTTTTTGATTTAATGCTACTTTAAACTTATATCGTACAATGATATTTGGTATATAAATAAGAAATGAAAAATCATGTCCGTTTCTGATAAAAATTAAAGTTAAAATCTCAAAAATATTAAAATTAAAAATTACTAAATGTCCCACTGTTCCTTTCAACGTGGGAACACTGAGACGTAACAATTAACATTATTTGACGTTAAGACTATCAAAATTTAATTCAAATTTTAAAAGCAAAATTTGGCGCTCGGTTAACCCTTGCAGTAAAGGGGGCGGCAAAATAATTTTAATGTCTCTTTTTAATACATGTGAGACATCTGGGACAACTAGAAAGAAGAACCTGCTTTCACATTTAGCGCTTTTCCTTAAAAACGATATTTTAAAATCATTTTCTTTTACTTGAGACAAGACTTTGCCTACATAATGTCTTTTGCTTAGAGTTGAATTCAACGAGCACATAATTCCCATCACTTGGACAGCGATCAACATCTTCGAAATTAGTTAGTTCTGTATAAACTCATGTACTTGTGAATCCGCGCTAGCTGTGCCGAGATGCTAGTGGTTATGGTGGCCTCATAAGTGCAATTTTTTGGTACTGAAAATTTCAGTACTGCAGATTTTGTTAATTTTTTTGCAAATTATGGTCACAGATTTTAATTGAATTTATCGAATTGTTTTTTTAAGATATATTTTGGATAACATCGATGTTAACAAATTTGCTTCAAGATATACATTATTTAGTGGAGTAGATGCTTCTAATATCACTAATGCTAGTACATCATATTTATTGGAGTTCCATAACAGTTATAATTTAAGTGTTCATGAAAAACGTAAGTGTTTGAGATTTTTTTTTATTATTATAATTCTGAAAATTTTTTTGTGTCATTTCTATGTGTTATACAATATTTAATGAGAATAAACTACAATTTTATTTGAGAATAACGTATATTTGACATTTCGATTTCCTTCTCGGAAATGAATCAAATTATTTTGTTTTCTTACTGGTTAACAACTAAAACTTCAGATGTAGCTTGGTTGTCTTAATCAATACATATTTTGACTGAATTGAAGCGATCTTCTGGCGAGTTCTAGTGGAAATATTTTAGGGCTTGAGGCTTTTGAAATGTGGTGCTATAGAAGAATTTTAAAAGTTTCCTGTGTGGAGAAGATTCGAAACTCCACAATACTAGAACGTCTCAGCAAGACTACTGAGATCATAAAAAGCATCAAGCAGAGAAAGTTGGAGTATTTTGGGACATGTAATGAGAGGTCCCAAATAAAAGTTGCTACAAAATATGATGCAAGGAAAAATAGCAGGCAAATGCAGTCCAGGACGAAGAAGAACCTCATGGTTGAAGAACTTGGTGTATGGTGTTAATACAAGCATGCTATTTAGGGTGGCAGTGAATAAAATTAAGATAGCTATGATGGTAACCAACGTTCTGAAAAGACATGGTACATGAAGAAGAAGATACAAAATATAAAAGTTTGCAAACACAAGCACTATTAATACAACACTGTTACCTCGATTCCAGTGGGAGGTGGTGGTGACAGCATCTCCATCCTAGGCAGGTTCCATCCTCCTTCGATGCACCAAACTCTCTCGACGGGTTCGTCTCCTTCTCAGCTCTCTAGTTCCCTTCTGCATTGTCCACGGTGTTACGTAGGCCCGAGGCCTCCATGGTGACGCGAACCACATAGTGGTAGGGCAGGCAGAGACTGTAGCTACCCCGGGACTTCCGTAGCTTCCGGAACACCTGGCTCGTCTTAGACGTCTGGTACACAGAAGGCGTCAGGTTTGCTTAGGACCTGGATAGCGGAATGTTGGATTTTGACGTCCTAATATCCGGTAACTCTCCTTTCTGTCTTCTTGGATCCAGCATGGATTCATAGGCTTGTGTATATTACGGCTTCTTATCGGTAGACGTAGTCTCTCGACGCTCTACAGCCGCCGCTCTGAAGGAGGATCTTCAATTCTTTGATTCCATCCTCGTGTTCGTGGAGATTAACAGGATTCAAGCTTCTACGTGCAGGAAGTTTTGCCGGGCCTCTGTGGTCGACGAGCGAAGACCGGCAACCAGAATACTTTAACAATTCGTGCTTTCTTATAATGACTTTCTTACAATAACTTTAAATGTACATGTTAGTATTTTAGTCATGATGTAGGTCTCGAATACCACAGAGATGCTGACCTTCTCGCCTCGTTGTATATACGCGTTCCCTCTCCTCGAAGATATCTTCGGTTCTAATCAGCATAGAAATGTCTTTTTTTGAATTTGTAGGGTCTTTGGTTCCCTACAATAGTTATTCTAGCCATTTAATACGACTGACTACGCATGCATAGAAATTAATGGTTTTTAAATATTTTAGGGCCATATCGAAGATATCTTTTAAAAAATATAATTCTTGTATTCCCGATATTTTTACTTCCTGATAAATATGTGTTTTTTTTAACTTTTCTTCTATTCTTTAATTACATTTTCATTGGGGAAGGAAACCTGACATTTGTTAAATATCATGTAAATTCTGATTCTCAATTGACAATTAACAAGCCGTTATACTCTTTTTGAAGACAAATCAATAGGAATATTTTTATTTTAAGTTAATATAAGAGATCGGCCAAATATCATATGAATCATAATTTTGTAAACCATTCTTTCATAATCACCTTATTACACAATGCAAAATGTTATTATATGTAGTTTTATTAGTCTAAAATAATATACTTTTTAGTGCCAAAATCTTTTGACTATTCAAAAGTATATGAAAAACTTGAATCGGTTGCAAAATCCAAACTTAACAACAACTCTTACACTGGTGGAGAGTCAACCATCGTACTGCTGTTAGTAAAAAATGCACCAACTGGAAATCAAGGAACATTTGTGAACCAGAGGAAAGAAATTATAAAACAGTATCTACCAGGTACTTTTAAAAATATTATTATTTATATTAATTTTTACCTTACAGAGATAATTATGACCTGATAAATAAACTGAACAGTTAATAATAACAAATTCGGATGTTTGACAGTAAAACAATACCTTCTTACTAGATTCTGAATTAAAAACTGGACCTTTTAAGAACTGCATCCATACATCACGAATTAGAACTTTCAGAGCATCATTGTATCGTATTTTATTTTACAAATATGTACTTGAAATAATCATTTATTTTTATTTGCAAAAACCCGCTTTAACCTAATAACTCTTTGCGAGAGAAATAGAAGAGAGGCTTGTACCTTGGGCAGGATTTTTTTAAACAGGTATTACAAATACAATAATGAAGTTATATTTTTAAAATTTACACTGGGGCAGGTATAAACTATTGCAGCATGTAAAATAAAACAAACAACTGATTACATGAGTTGGTTTTCTTAAAAGAAAAAAAATCCTGAACGCCTACAATTTGCCCAAGGTACAATACGTATTATACCTTGGGCCACCAAAGGTTGCACCTTGGGCCATTGGGTTAACATAATTACCAAAACTTTTATTTTAAGAATTAACAGACACATTTAAACTTACATAGGAACAAAATCTTTTTAATATTGGTTTTATTAAGTTTTGTTTAGAATAAGAACCATTTTAAGCAAAATGAGTTACCAATAATATAAATCAATGATTTATTATTATTAAACATCAGAACAAACAATTTAAATAACGTAAACTTTACTCAACGAAATAATTTTCAAAATCCAAGTTAAAAGTCTAAATATCTTGTTGACGTTTTGAGGATCCATCTTTCTTATGAACTTCCACGACGCTTTCAATGATGTCTTCCTTTTCGATTTCATATGCCTTTATATCAATCAGGCAGAAGTTTTAAGATAAGCGGATTCTCTTCAGGTAATTCCCAACTATCATCGTAAGGGATACTTTCGACGTCGTCGTTGTCAGAAAATGATGAATTGTTGAGATCCTTCGATTGGGGAAATACTGGTTTAGTCTTTTTTAATTTTATTGCCTGTTAAATGATGCTTTCTCGGTTAGATGTCCATAACTTTTCCTTTCAGAGCTGTTTTCTTCATATTTTTGTTCATTCTTTCCTCGTGCTGGTTTTCTATTTCATTTTTCTCAGGTATATCAGTTCAGACTCGACACTTGCCCCTTTAACGACCTTTTTGTATGTTTGTTCTTGGAGGTGCCTTAGGTAAAGTACCGGACTACCGCTGGTGACTTGTAAGGTAGCTCAGGTTCTTCAGTCTATGCAGTTACTTTACGATTATTAATAGGGGGTCTAAAATAAATGTCTTCATTGATATTAGCAAGATTATCTCTATCAGTGACCGAAGAACTATAGAACTCGTGTTCTTGAAATACATTTTCATTCACTGGCCAGATCCCTGAAACTCTGAATACAGATTCAATATTTGTTCGATTAAATGCTAGTTTATATGCCGGACCAGAAATTTCAGCGACATCGTAAATAGATATTGGTTTTCCTGGGTTTCATCATCCATTCGGTGCACGCGTTGTTATAATAAGTTTTATATGGTCCAAACAACTCAGATGGTATGGTCATGTACAGAGAATGTCTGAAGAACGTCTCCCAAAAGAAGTCTTAATGCGGACTTCTCACGGTATAAAAAAAGAGGAAGACCCCGCCTTAGTTGGAGAGAAGGCATCAATAGAGAAATGAAAGAGAGAGACATAGAAGAAGACTTATGGATGAATCGAGAGGAGTGTAGGAGAACGTTGTAAATCGATCTATAAAAACTTCTAACTAATAACCTATATTAAGGTTTCTTAATTTTTCCCTTATAACTCCAAAAAGATAAGTGGCGCCCTTTTTCTTATCTTCTCTTATCTTTGACAATTTTACCTATCTCTCTTGTTATCTATTTCTCTGTCTTTTCTAATCTATTTTATCTTGTTTTATCTTTATTATTTCTTCTGTTGGATCCATTCTCGATTCCAAAAGCTAGTTTCACACCCCGACTCGCTGTCCACTAGCCATCTAGCTGCCGTTCGCAGTGTCTCCATTGTTGACCTTTGTAGCACCATCCAAAAAAGTTTCCGAGGTTACAGTATTTTGATAAAATTGAATGAAATATTAGAAAATAATGACAAAGAAATAAATCTAGGACTTCATAATACTACATAAAGTTTCTGTAAAGAGCCTATATTAACTAATTTGTATTATTGCAGATCTCTCTCTCCTTGTTCTTGGATATGGATCAGCTGACGACTACTCATCCATGCTCATTAATCCTTCAAAAGACTTTATATCCTTAACAAGTACAACTAACGATAATGAACTTATGAACATTGGAAAAGATGTTGTGGATGCAATTAAAAAAAGTAAGTTATATTCAACACGTTTACAATTAATAATATTTCTTTGTTTTTAATAATAACTAATAATATTTTAAAAATGTGACAAAAGCATAATTTTTTACAATCTGTAATTTGGTTACGGAGAGAAGTAGAAATTATCTAGCCTATCAGAAAAATACAAATATGATATGTTATGGAGACCATATAAAACAAGATATGATTAAATCTGCGGTAGTTGCCTTGCAAACATTGTTTTACATTATGTTATATTTACAATAATACAATAATTAGCAATTAATTTGGAAACTAGCACGGCAAAATGCAAACTATAATAAATTTCATATAGAAAAATTAGTATTTTTAGATTATAGATATAGAAAAAATTAGTACTTTTAGATAAAATTTAAAAGAATTCTAGCAAAATATTTAACACAGTTGTAATAGCTCCATTACTTTTTAGTTCCTCGGTCCATAATAAATCCTTCCTGTGGTTCAGGCTTCGTAGGCAGTGAAAGTACACTAACTTACAGCGATTCAGTAGACTTGTATGGAACGAACTACTATAAAATATCTCCCTATTACTTTGCCATTGGAAGCAATGGAAGAAGTTTAAAAATAATTGAACCAAGTACTGGAAGCATCACTGTCTGTATATCGCGGGACATCGACAGACCAACAAGTTCAAATGCGGATTGTCAAACTCTACAGTCCAGTGTCAAGTCATACGATCTCTCAAACTATTGTGGTAAAAATGTGAGAGACTGTTCTCCTATTTACTTGTCTATATATGGAAATTCTACACAGTATCGATGTAATGGTGAGTAATCATTTGTTATTCCATTAATTAAAAATTATTATAAAGTGGTGGACAAACATGTACATCCCAGATATCGATGGCTTACACGTAAAACCTGGTATGTCTGATTAACTATATTTTTCAGAAAGAATCATAGAATCCGTGGTGGAACTCTTTGGGAATTAGACTCTTTAGTTCTTGTAAGTGCTGGTACTTACGGAGTTTAATCTTTCATGGGCATTGGTACAGCTGTTTTGTCTCGTCAAATGTATCAGTTTTTTGCACTCTTTTTCTCAAGGGAACTCAGTTTTCATCAAAACTTAATTTATAAAAGACTTCTTTCTCCGTAGTGTACCTACTTTAAGGGTGACAGGTCTATAACAGTAGATTCTTCTGCTTTCGTACCTGGTCTTATTGAGGTATATATGAGAAATTCATAAAAGAAGAATGGTCCAGGTGAACTACTTCGTAAGGTTTAAGTTTCCTTCTGACGCTTTTCATTATTTTTATATAATCAGCTGGAACATAGATTTCTCGATTTCTGACTCTTTTTTTATTTGAGCATGGATGGAGTCACACTTCATTTGTGTGTGCCCATGTTCCAAGTATTTTTGTACAATAGTTATATTTTCCTTTACATACAGGAGTAAAAAACTGTTTGTTAAATTTGAATTGCGGTTTTGGTAGCAACAACCTTCACTCCAAACTATTACTGTTTCTGTTACTGTTTAAAATTACCCAATCACTAATACAGTAAGAATTTAAAAACAAAGTCTTGCAAACTTGCAGTCGTTGACTGTTCCATTTTAAATAATAAAATAGAGACGAATTTCGTCTATATTTTAGAAACAATATTCTTTTGGTTTTTCAATTTTTTTGTACAAGCAGAGTCCACCATATTGATAATATGTATTTGTCTTTCTGGCCAGTTTTTTGCAGGCTTCGTAATATCATATTTTCATTTACCTTCTACTTTTTGAATGCCAACATATTCTTCGCCTTTTTTTCTTTTTTCTTTATTTACGGATGTATTCCATTTAGAAATATTGGGTGTTTTACTCCGTTTGCCACAAAGAAATTTAGTTTCGTTATCTATATTATCATCTAAAATATCTTGCAGAGTTTCTTCCTGATGTTGTGTCCGAAGATAAGTCTTCCGAATTCTTATCGGAAGCGATTTCCAAAGTAATTCCATTTTTCTCAATAAAAGTGTAAATATTTCGAAAATTATTAACTTTACACCTATAAAACCTTATACAAACTCTTTTATTTAAAAATGCTTTAATATACAGGGTGTTTGATAATCACATATAAGTATATTTTTTTTAGATGCAACGTGCCGATTTCCCAATAACATTAAATACAGCATCTCGTTGGACAGCGTAGGATGCACAAGTAGTGCCCTTGCCATAGTTTCTAACTTTATTTTAATTTCTACCTTATTTTTATTTTTAAAGTTTTAGATTTTGTTTTTAGTTTGTTAGGTAAGATGATTTTTATACAACTAGAACAAGTAATTTTAGATATCCGAATTATGATACAAAGGTTAAGATTTGTATTTATTCCTGTAGTCAAACCATTATCCTTTTAGTATTTAAAGAAATATACAAATAAATAAAATGTATAAAATACGTAAAACCTGTTTTTTGTATGTTATTTTATTTTAATTACATTTTTAATAGTTGGAATAAACAATTTTTTTACTCTTTTTATATACTTTTAGATTAGCACTTTAAAAATATTGCAAGCGATGTTAATGCTTATATTATGCTGTTATCATTATACGATGTGTAGGTGTAAAATAGAGAGATTAATCTGTAATAGATTTCATTTAATTATTAATTATACCTATTTACTTTTACTGTATTATCTTCTTTAATAAGCACAAATTCTCTGTTTATACAATATGCCATGCATTTAGTATCTTTTTAAATCTGTTTAATTACGCATGTAACTATTTCTTTTACAACAGCTTTAACAGTGTGACATGTTGTTCCTACTACTGCAGATTTTACTTTGGGAATACAGTTGACATAGCTGACACAGTCTACAAGGACATACTTAACACTGAGTGGAACATTACAATTGTCACATAAAGTAGGATTAGTGTGTCCGATTTTATGCCCGTGGGTAAGTCGGGTATGTCTTAGACGAAGTCGAGTAAGAACGACTTTATGAGCCCTGTTGGAAATTTAATATTTTCACGGTTTTACATTTATGTTTTTACTTCGCAAGGTTTTAACACTAGAAGGGCGAACGTTCCAATTTTGACCCATTTCGAAATTCATCTCTGTGCAGTAAATATTCTATACTTGCTATAGTCTTAAATTTTTGACATTTTGTGAATTATCTGGTACATTACATACACAAAACTATATATCTACTATGATAACTAATTTTTTGTTTTTTCACGAAAATACCTTAAAGCGCGGATGGGTCATTCTTGACAAAGCTGTGTATATTAGTATAAAGTATTTACAATTGATACATACTAATTTATATTGGAATTTAGGGGTTTACTGCTTATAACTAATGGCAATAGAATGAGAATGTCGAAATACATAATACCGTCTGAATGAAGGGGATACCATACTTACGTTTGCCAGATCGTCCATCGCATCTTGATCTCGCGTCGTTCCGTTCAGTCGAGTTTGAACTAGTGAAGTGGTAGTACGTCTTTTTTTACTTTTATTGACTACATATAAAGTGTCATGGACATAAATAATCGGCCTTTAACTCATCAACAACTTCGACCGATATGCTTCGGTTAGAGGACGTGGTCGACGCAGCAGACGTGGAAGTAGACGTGGCCGTAGTCAACCACCGGTCAGAGCAGAAGGATGTTATTATGACGTTGTTTTTCAAATTCCTGTTGGCTCAGAAATTATAGTTCCTGATGGTATACTTTGGAAGTTCGAAGCATTGTATAAAGCATCTGCTGGTAGAAGAGTACATCAAAACGTGTTCAAAGATATTTCCAGACCTACACCATACCTATGCCACGTCGTGTCGATGAAACGTGTAACAGTGCTTGGCGACTTCTTATTGACGATAAAATTTTAAAACATCATCGACTGTACTATTCAAGAAGCACGCCGAGTTCATTCAAACACTTGGTCTCTAACAATAGAAGAGTTAGAAGCATTTATAGCTATAATATAATTATAAAGTAACGAAGTTCTGTGTAGTATCAAAGAGAGTCATATATCTTATCATCGCTTTGAACAACAGATACAGCTTACAGATAATACATGGATATGCACCGACAGGAAACTCAACAGACAAGGAAGCTGACTCATTTTACGAGGATCTGACAACAGCAAGGGACCAAGAAAAATCACACTTCGTAATAATCACAGGATATTTTAATGCAAAAATTGGAACAAAAGAAGAGGGCGACACACAATATATCGGTGGCTTTGGGCTGGACAACAGCATATTTTTACAGCAACGAATTTGGTGAAACAGTAGGATATGTTATCTTAACCTAGTGTTGCGGTGATTGAAAATATACTTTAAAATGTGTGTAACATATAAGGTTATATATTTTATCGCGTTAGTGTTAATATTTACATCATATCTTAGTGTTACACTCAATAAACGCACTCTTTTTGACCCATTTTATGTTGATAACCGAAAATCACTATTTTTTGGATGTCCTAGTGTTGCTCTGAGTCGACGATATCCAATTGTTTATTCTCATCTCCCACAAAACAAGATTCCCCTTAAAAATATCTATTTATCGTGTTTACTTTCATGGGTTAAAAGAGGACAATCACTTCAAATGCTCGGTCCTTTCATGTGATGGCATCATATACAGAATATATAATTTAAACGTGGTTTTGTCATACATACAACTCACATACAACACAATTTCTCATGTTCAACGCAAATCAATTAATATACAGGAGGCAATTGCTGCAGTTGTAGGTGACCTAGAGAATATTTCTCCGTGAAATCGCAGAAAAATAAATGATAAGTCCATAAAATAACCAAAGTCGTTAGAAGAATATATAAAGAGCACATATTGTGTATACATTTTCTATATTAAATGGAGCTCGTACGTTAAATTTCACATATACTGAGAGTCTAATGAGATTATCACATGAATAACATGATAAGCATTTAAAGTATTAATAATTTGAAAGAAAATAATGTCGAATTTTGAGAAAGAATAAAACTCTGCAACCGAAAGATAAATCGGCCAATAATATCGATTTACCGGTATAAGAGTTAACGCCATTATCTTACGCGATGTTGAGTAGAGCCCCAAAACTTCCAACCCTTTGAAAAGATAGTCAAGTGGAGCCCTATAGATGTGAGTCACATCCCAACTTTGTGTAAGGATGCAAACCAGTAGATATTAGCTATTGGTGAGAATTAGGAATTACAAGTGAATTATTTGTCATTCTGTTCGTATGTATCATCATCATCATTGGCTACACAACCCATGGTGGGTCTTGGCCTGCTCAAGGATAAGTCTCCATTCTCTCCTATTCTTCGCCTTGACTTTCCAGTTTCGTACTCCCAACATTCTCAAGTCTTCCTCCACCTGATCCTTAAATCGTGCTCTGGGCCTGCCTCTCCTTCTCACTCCATCTATTATTTGATTATAAATATGTTTTGGCGGCTCCATCTCATTCATTCTCTCTATGTGACCTAACCACCGCAGCCGGTTTATTTTGATGGACCTAATAATATCAGGTTTATCATACAGGCGGTAAAGTTTGAAAGTATAGCGTCTGTGCCATAATCCGCCCTTCTGTACTCCTCCATAGATATGCTGGAGGATTTTACGCTCAAAGCATCTTAAACGTTCTTCATCGCTCTTTGTCATCGTCCATGTTTCCGACGCTTATGTGAGGATGGGCTTGATAAAAGTTCTGTATATCACTAGTTTCATTATTTTTGTAACTAGGCTTGTTGTTAAAATTTTTTTTAAACTTTTTAACTTCCATATATCATATTCAACGTGACAACGTGATTAAAACAAAACAAAATGCGTATACTAAAGGACATAAAAAGCTTTATAAAACAAAATAAACTCAAATTTGGAAGTGGAAAAAGTGAAAAAACGTAATGATCCCCTCGAGACGGACCTATCATCCAAAATGTTTATTCATTTTATTATTTTGAACCAAGGGATTATCATTAAAGGCGTACCAAATTGAGTTTTTAGTTTACATCGCGGATGTTCCGTCTATGGCTCCTTTGCAAAAAATTTTTGTTGTCTTGTGGATAACCTAAAACTATGCAATGAACTGAATTACTAGTACTTATATAGTACTAATATAGCTTGTGTATATATTTTTTGATTTTTTTAACCTAATTATCTATTTTATTTGCTGATTTTGACCTGATAAGTGAAGTAGTTAACTACTTGACTTATCGGGTCCAGTACCATGACAACTCGTTGAGTCTTGTTTTCTACTATGTACTCTCTCATATTATACAGTATTCTTCCTTTACTCTGCTAGCTGAGACCATACTAATTGGTATCTGTAGCTGAATGTGTGTCCATAAATGACACAACACACGTCGGTAGTAAATGCTAAAAATATGTAAAGAAAAATATTTATTTGTTATTATTTTAATTTTTGAGTATATCTTGGAATTAAATGCAGATTAAGTTGTTTAAATAAAAAGAAACAATGGTTTATTTATGTAGAATTTGGCAGTTATACTATGCAGCAGTTTCATCAAAACTTCAAATTAGATTACCTCTAAATGTTCATTTTGAAGTTTCGCTACTATTGTTCTCACCAGACGATTATATTATGAATATTTTATTCATCTTTGTCAAGTTATAGCTGCTACAATATAAATACTTTTTTAGACATCGATAACCAAAACTCTCAGTATATAATTGAACGCCACTGTAGTTGTCCGGTGGTTGACCAAGGCCATCGAGTTAGTAGGGAGTCCTAACCGTCGGCCAAGCGCATTCCTCGCGTAGGCGATTACCTGAGATGAGTACTGTGAACCAGCTATTCATTGGTGGTTGTAATCATTTTAACCACATTGGTTATACCAAACACCAAATTTTCACGAGTTACTATACTTATGGGCAATTCTTGATAAAAATGTTGACATCAACAAAAAATTCACAACACTTGAGAAAAGAAAAAATTAATGTTATTTCAAAAATTTCTTGCCTCACAGAAATTAGAATACCACCCGATGTCCCTAAACTTACTATGCATGACGAGACATTAATAAACTATATTATCTATTATGTCATCAACAACAAAAAAATGGAAACGAAAATATATATTAGATGTATTATTAATTAACGGTATTAGATATGATGTAATTGAAGGGTGGTATTTTTTCTCTCTGTTTATTTTATTTTGTCTCCAACTGAGTCTACTCTTTCACGTTTTGCTTATTTTCGTTTCCCATACTATTTTTGCTATTATATCCCTTTTTATATACCCTACTTCATAACATTGTAAATGATTTT